CGACTTGCATGTGTTAGGCATACTACCAACGTTCATCCTGAGCTAGGATCAAACTCTTAAAAGAATAAACTGCGAGAATTCACTCACAGGTAAAATTGGTTCCGTCTAGTTTTCAAAGATATTATTAACCATTGTTTTTATTATATTACTAGGAGAACAAGTAACCTATATTATTATTTTTTAGTATTTAATTTTTCGGCCAAAAGCAGATAACCACTACAATAATCGCCAACGCTATTACACCACCAATTAGCCAAAGCCAGAGGTTAGATTTGAAGAACTTATCTGACCCTACGTTGCCTTCCTCAGCCAATTGTCAATCGTGAACTAATTGCCAACCATGCTGGCTATTTTTGCCACTACCCGTAATTTTATGTAAGAAAAACCAGTAGATTTTTCCTTTTTCAGGAAATATTCGCAGCGGCCTTTTACCATAATCTTCAGGGTTATATGAAACCACGTATTCTTTATCAAATTTTGAATTTTTTCACTTGTTCAATGAATTTAATAAATGAATCCAGCATAAATATTTCAGATTCATAGACGAATTTGATTCGAATTCTTATATCTGTGCAGACAATTTCACCTTCTAGCTTGAGGGGACCTTCTTTGAAAATGATTTTGTCCATGGGAACAAGTTTATTTTTTTTATTACAACCTATAAGAGTGAGGTAATAACCTGGCAATTCAACCATAATGTGTATATATTTTTTGTCAAGTTCGTAAGGAAAATGTTTGGAAATCTTATTTGTTGCTTCGAATAACCTCTTGCCTCCAAGTTTTGTTTCAATATTCGCATTAGGGTTGTCAAAAAAGATATTTAACTTCTCAACTAGTTTATTAACTTTTCACAATTTAAGATTTACATTATCAACAAAAGCAAAATATTGTTTCATTTTTTTAATCTTCTCTTTAAGAATCATTTTAAGCATGTTGACAGTCATTTCAGAATCCAATTCAACAGAAAAAATATTAGTAATGTCTGGGGTATTGCCATGAACAAGACAGTTAAGTTCAATAGTAGGCATGATTCGGAACTATCATAAATAAGAAATGTTAATGTTATTTTAATGTCATTTGTCAATGATCAAAATTACATGCCTTAAATTTACGTATATATTTCGAGGCTAGAGCAATACAACTTTTAATGAGAAAATGAATCCAACAATAACAAAGATACCAGTATAGAAAAATGCCAGATATGCAAAGGAGCTATAATGATAAAGCTTTAGGTTAATTGTGAATCCTGAGAAGGTTCGATTAGTTCACTCTAATATTATGCCTGTGCCAGATTTTGTTGATCATTGTGGTGCAGATCTATAAACTACAAATCAGATTTCATGAATCAGGTGTAATGTAACATGATCAGAAAATTTTAAAACAAAATGTTCGTTTTGTCAAAAATCGCTTATTTCTCAAAATTTGCATAAAAAACTACCTTTAGTGCTCTAACAAAAAGTTTTCCTTGAGCGATTTTACTATCCACTCTTCTAATCTCTAACCTTATTCTAAACGCTAACCCTAATATTTTGTGCTTTAAAAATTTTGACTGCGTCACAATGATCGACAAAACCAATAACTTATCGAATCGACAGAATAATTATTAATCATCATTCGGTTTTCATAATTCCTGGGACATCTGTAAAAACTTAGCAGAATAATTTTTCGGCCGTTGTTATTTCGGCATAATAGATTCAATAAAAATTGGTTGAGTGCCGAAAAATTGATTACTTCTTCCTATATACTCCATACAATCATTTATACAACTGTTTTCATTCTAATTGAGGCAGCCGATAAAAAATTAACCGAATAATTATATACTGACTCGTTAAGTTTTCTGAAAATTGTACATAGGTCACTATGACTATACCAAATTAAAACACTCGTTTCATTACGTTTCTGGTATAATATCGACACATATTTTTTTTTGTTTGAATACTTACCCAACGTGTATGGTGTGTTTAGTCTGTACGAAATTTATAAAAAAAAATACAAAATATATTATATACAAAAGTTTTTTATTACATCCATTTCTTTTAAGTGCTTGAGAGCTCGATTTGTAAAAGTTCTGCTAACACCTAAGTGTTTAACAATTTTTTGAATTAATAAGCCCTCTAATGTTTTTTTTTTTTCATTTGCAACGAATATGCTTTAAAAGTAGATATGCGTATGTAGTCTTATAATATTCCCAATAAAAAAAATCCTTTGGAATCATTCTGAAATCATCCGATTTTTTGTTAGCAAATCGACTCCGTATTGAATATTTACAGGATGTTTATTGGATATTATACGTTTTTTGTACGATAAGCATTTAAATAGACGTCCCGTAATGAAAACAGTATAAGAATAAACCCCTGTTCGGAAAATTGACACCATTTGAACAATTTCAGAACGAAAATTTTATAGGGATTTTATATTAATTAAATTTCATATTGAATCTATTATGCCGAAATCAATAACTTAACCGAATCGACCGAAAAATCATTCGGCTAATTTTTTGTCAGGTGTCCCCAGAAATTATGAAAACAGTTGTAATATATTCGAAGAATATGCAACATTGTGAATATATCTATAAAAAAGGAGGATTCTAATATTTTAATTTAGAAGGATATCCGGATAGATATTTTTTAAAACAGATGTCAATCCGGATATCCGAATTATCATCCGGATCCCAACACTACGTACATACGTACAACTGTTATACTCTACATACGTACTTTAGGGATATTATGTGTTCTGGTCTAAACTAATAGATAGGGGTTGTTAATGAAGTGGTATACTCCGCAGCAGTTCCCCAACCAAAGTTGGAGTGAGTTAAAAATGAAATTGGAGTAAACTGGAGCAGCTCTAAGCAAATTTGGAGTGACTCCAGAGTGAATTCAAGCTAAATTGGAGTAGGTTGAGGAATAGTTCAACCCAACCCACCCCATCTCAACCCATTAAAACTCTACTAATAGAACATGGTTAGTCTTAAGACTGGTATGAGACTGAAAAAAGTTGGGTTGATTTTAGTTTTAAGACCAACTGATCTGAATCAGTCTAGATCAGTAAATTCTTAGCTATGGGCTATTAAAGACTAGACCAGGATTGGACCAAAATAGACCAAATTGGACTGTTAACATTCCTAACGTACTTACGTACGTACATACGTACCAATTTTTATTGAATCTATTATGCCGAAATGATAACTTAATCGGATCGGCCGAAAGATCCTTCGGCCAATCTTTTGCTGGTGTTCCAGGAATTATGAGACCAACTGTAATTTTCACAGAATAATGATAACAGTTATAAACAAAGATATAAATATAAATCCGGATTTTGACTCTATCATTGCAAATACACAGATCACAAATCATATCACACGTCGCAAATAATTTAAATAAAATATACTACCGAAAACTTTTGAAAAATAATTACCCAAATTTGAACATATAGAATTTTATATGTCCATATATCTGGCAATAAGTGCCCGGTTATGCATGATTATGCATGATCTACAAATCAGATTTGAGAATCAGGTGTAACGTAGCACAATCAAAACAAACGTTCGTTTTGCCAAAAATCGCTTCTTTCTCAAAAAACTGTATAGTAAACCACCTTTAGTGCACTAACAAAAAGTTTTTCTTGTGCGATTTTACTATATAACCACTTAGCTTTTAACTTTATACAAAATGCTAACCTTAGCATTAATGAACTTTAAAGAATTTTACATGATGATCGGCAACATGCATAACCGGGCACAGATTCACTTATTGCCAAAGTAGAGATATCAGGAATTTCACACGTAGTAGCATCAAAGGGCATATGTAATACGTACTTTCTTTTGTATACAGGCAACTTCTGCGCACGATTTAATCCACACCTAAATTCATATAAATCCATATTTACTGCTTTTCTCATGATCTATTTCACAATTAAGTTTTAAAATTCTTATATTCAAATATTGTAACAATGATAGTAAAAGCATGATTTTCAGGCATAAATATTAGTAGCCCAATTCAAATTTTCATCTCTATTCACAGAATATTTGGTATTTTTCATTTTTTCGATATAGGATTTATTTATTAGTGATTAGAGTTTGGAAACTGGTTTTAACATATAAAAAATAAAGAACTCTATCAATGGTTATAAAAGAAGGATTACATTTTGTAAATATGACATTAGTGTACACGACCTGATTGATTCATAAGTATTTCTCCAATTATTTCAATACTGCAACAAGTGTAGTGACAAGTTATTATACTTATATATTTTATATTCATATTAAATTTAATCATGCAGATGATTTCTTATTCAATTTCTTTATGTTGATCAGTCAAATTATTCAAAGATATATTAACATTTTACTTGTTTACATTCAATTTGTTGTATTGATTTAATTTCTATTTCAAAGGTAAGCTAACATTTATTTGGCATCATTCATATATTATTTACTTCTCATTTAATTTATTTTTATTCACATTGACATTGCTTATAATCTATTCATTTCTTATTTTATTTCTTTTTATTTGTAGTTAATAGCTATTTATCAAAATTATAATACTGTAATTTTAGTATAGTCGAATTACTTATTGTACTTTTCAAATTACTGTGTCTACTGATTTTGTACATCATACTGAAAATCAAAATATAGCACATTGTGTAACAATAGTCATGCAAGAGGTATTATTATGAGGATGAACCTCTGCAAGTACTGCAGATCTTGTATAATAGTAAATGAATTGAGTAAAAATGAGAAATGATAGTAAAATAGTGAATGAATTGAACAAAAATAGAAAATGATAGTATATAAAGGGCAGATAGAAGTTAAATAATCTATATAGTGCTTGATTCTTTCACTGTCTGATTGATATCTGGCTCTATAGTATATATTCATTCATCGTGGTTATATAATGACAAATTCAAACATATCCAAAAATGATTTGTCAAATATATACTGTAGTTTGGGCATATCAACTTAGAGAAACAAAGCGAACCTTGTGCAGAGGTTAAAGAATTATTAAGTAAAGGGTTCCTGTGAAAGGAATGTAGGAAAAGGAAAACTCTCAAATGAGAGATTACTAATAAGCATTGACACTGAATCAGTTTTATCTGACAATTATATAGAAAATAATAATATATTTAACTCAGAAGTGCCTGACCACAAAACTTTTGAAAAACTATTTCAAGAAACAAGTTACTCACTGAGAGCTGTGCCACAATTGCTTACACAAGATATAGAAGAAACAAATGACTGCTTACCTCATGTGAATAAAACATCAAAAAAAAGAAAGTTACAACTTGGTGATGATAGAAACTCTGATTTTTTAAAAGGGAAAGTATTGTCTGGTTTTCAGAAATTAGAGAAAGCAATATTAGATTTTAATAATAAGTTAAATTTAATAGCATTACAAGTTCAAAAGATATGCAATAAAGCTGATATTAAGGAAGCCTAATCAAAGTATAAATTTGAAAAGTCCCAAGACCAACATGAGTATGATACTCTATGCCAAATCAGGAAAGAACTGAACTTGGCTACAGAATTCAGAAATTTAGACAATGCAGCAAACCACATTGAAGCTACATGAAAGTTAGTGAAAAATAGGATGTTTACCTTAAGAGTAGCTGAAGGTTTCAGTTATGATATTGTTGCAGCATCGTCTGAAACTCAGAATGACTAGCTAAAAGAGAAGAATGATCTAATTAAAAAAGCTAAGACTTTGGCTGGTGCAAAAAAGAGTAAGAGACAAAAGTCATACAGTGCAGTTAAATTATCAAGCTATTAGTATAGCTATCTAGGTAGAAATTAAAGTGGAGCCTAATTTTTTTAGTACTAAAAGCAAAGCTAAAGAAATAGCAGCTAATAATAGACCTCAGACACCTGAACAAGACATTACCAGAAAAGCTGTTCAGATTCAAGAGGTTCAGAACCTTTTTATATATGGTGGGAAAAAACTGGTGGCTAATTGTGTTGGATTTTAAGAATAGATACCATCATATAAAAATAAACAAGAAAGCTCAAAGGCTTTTAGAATTCAAAGTAGAGTTA